TACGCACTTGGGGTGACAAATGGATTTATGTGTAGCTATGCATCTGCAACTTTCTAACGAGCATTTATTAGTTGTAATATTGCAAGTATTAATAAACAACAGAGTTATACCTGTATCACAATTGTAATACAGATTAGGAATGTACTGAATAAATAGAAGAGAAAATTGCACAGCCTTGAATGTGTGCTTGCTTAGCACACTATGTACGGCACAGAAAATAATGCTTATCTTAGTATTCAAAATTTAATCTTTGGAAATTAATAGCACCGTTATTTTTCATGCTAAGTGCATGATTTTTTCAGTGAATGTCTATAAGGGGCCATCCTGAATATTTTTAATAAACCAAGTACAGTTTTGATTTTCGGTTGTCTAATTATTCAATGAAAAATAACTGATTTGATAATTTATTGCATTTTAGGCATGTTAAAAATACATTATTTCAACTACTATATATATTACTGAATGATTTTACTGTGTAGGACAATTCAGCGAGATATTCCGTCGAGATTAAAAATGGCAATTAACACTCGAGAATGCAAGGACGTGATAACTAGCACATTTATTAAGAAGACCTTTTGCCCATCAGGGATTTTATCAATGAGAGAGAACAGTAAACAGAATATTCAGTGGTATAGTGGGTCAAGTGAGCAGGTGTTAAAGGAGTTGGAGGGCAAAGCTAGGTGATGGTAGCATTCTTAGAGAGATGTTAACAAGTATTTTAGAGGTTATACAACTACCTGCATTTTTAGTGATGGTCTTGGTAACAGTGATGAGAGCAAATTTTAAATAGCATCTGCAACATAGGCCTGATTCTTCCATGACAAACCAGGCATTTTGTATGCTCATGAGATTGTTGTGGATGCTGCACCGACTGGTGCAGGCATTGTTCAAGTCATTCCTTTGGCAAGTGCACTTATATTAATTTATGCATTATTTGAGGTTCCTAGTTTTTTCCTCCCACATACAGCTGGAATGTGAGTAAAGTACCATTTATGAAAGGATTCAGGGAAGTCAGTTGGCCAAACTTGAGTCCTGGAGGTGGAAAGTGCAGTGCATGCACTCTGAAAGAAGTGTGGGAATATTTGCAGTTTTGAACTGTAGCACTGGAACCCCTCTGGCAAGACAGTAACCGATGATGAATGTTTCTTGTTTAGGTCACCCTGCCTCAGTGGGAAATGGCTGATGTTAAAAAAAAAAAATGTATAGTTTGCCACATGCCACATATGGGATAGTGTGTTTCATGTTCCTCTTTGCTAATGGGCTCTTAATAGTATGTAATGGAAGTCATGCAGACTGTATGGGTCTTACTCCTAGGAATAAGTTGTGGATGCTCTTAGAAACATGTCTAAGTGGGAGAACAATGTACTACTCAGAGTCTACTTTTGTCTAGTGGAGAGGAAAAGAGTTTAACAGCCTTTCATCTACTACAACCGATGATTTATTTTAACAAGGGGTCATATAACGCTAGGGAATGGGAAGCACTAATTTTCCATCCAAAGTAGGGAAGTGCAAGTTCAGTTTTTTGGATCAAGATCCCTTTACCTTTACCCTTGAGGGGACAATCAGACAATTGTTGATAAAATGTGTTGAATATTGCAGCTTGAAAAATATCCTATGCATATACTGTAATGGCATTCTTCTTCAAGTAAGACAGCCCGAGATTTTATAAGATCTCAAATAAAAATCCAGTCCTTGTGCGTGTAGTAAATCATCCTTGATCAAGATTTTCATTAGACATGAAAACCAATTATGATCATACTGTACCATGGTGAACTTGAGAAAACTTCCCCAGGGGGTTTTTGCTAAGACGAGGGGTTTTAATCCCCAAAGACGGGGGTTTGTAATGCTAAAAAGAGGGTTGTGTACGCTAAGACGAGGGGTTTTGTATATACTCTACTAAGACAGGGGGTTGGATATGCTGGGGAAAAAGGCCTTGTATATGCGAGACAAGGGGTGTATATCTGGGAGGGGTTTGATAAGGATTCTGGAAAATTTACTAGGATGTCTCTAATAACTTTAGCCTTTTATTTTCTCGGGGGGAGTATGGTACCAGTCTTTCCCTTCAGGTGTTCCATATACGGGTTAGCCTGACTGAATTTATGTGGAAAGTCAAGGGCCATTTCTACAACACCCAGTACACAAAAGAGTAACTGTTAATATACAGTAATTAATCATGTTTTAGCAAAGTCATCCCTTTAAATGTTCCCCAAAAACCTTCTTTTTAAAAACTTCATATTGGACAACGTAAGCAAGCATGATGGGTCCCAAGACAATCAACCTTAAACTACTCTCTCCCCCCCTGACTTTAAAAGAATCTCCCTCAGATTTCCCAAAAGAAAAACCAAATTAAAACTTATTATAATACAAAAGAACAAAAACTTACAGTACTTTAATTTTCAGAAAGGGTTTCTGTCAGGGTTTAATCACAGCCAAGCAAACCCCTAAACCCTATTCTTTACACTGTTCCCCTAGCTGCATTGTTATGTGCCCAAAAAGAGATCCCTTCACACAGCTGAAAAAGGGGGTAAGAGTGAGATTTAGATTGCTGTGTGACAAAGAACATCCCCGGGCTCTCTCAAAACCATGATTCGAAAATTTACAAATTTTTCATTATCCAACTAAGAAAATTCTGAAAATGCTCTAAAACAGAAAAGAGTTCTCTTCAATTTTTCCCTAAAACCAGGACTCCCCACATGATGGTCTCCCCAAGCCCCACAAACCAGGATTTCCTCTCAGAGGTATTCCTTGGGAACGGGTTTAGCATGCTATATAAGTCAACCACATATAATATGCCCCAAACAAAACACATGGGGTGTTTTAAAAAAAAACAAGGACATTAATGTTAAAAACAAAAAATTTAAGTTAGAAATTTCCTAACTATTCCGGATTCCCGCCCCTCTTTTAACCATGATTTTAAAGTAAAGTGACTGGTATCAACTTCAACACTTTCTTTAAATGATTGTATTCATATGGAATGGCCTGACTCACCTTTAATGCGCAAATCAACTGTCTATGGGGCACCTGAAGGAAAGAATGAAGTATACATCCCCCGAGAAAACTGGGTATTTACCGGATGACATCTTTGCACAACTCCATAAATTTAAAAATTTACAAATGTAACAGAATAATTTCCTTCCTTTCTTTATGGTTTTTCTTTGAAAAAAATTGACAAAAATCATATTTCAAAATCTGCAAAAATGCTTATATGGATATTCAACTACAATATCAATGGATTTTATTCAGGATTAGACAAGACAAGATTTTGTTCGGATTTTTAACCTTGCAGGGTTAGCTACCCATGATAACCCAAGAAAGGCAGTGTGTCATCGAGGACTGTCTTATTTCCATTGAGATCCTCAATCTTGTCTCCCAGGATATGACCCACACCAGTTGACTAACACCCAGGTACCTATTTGCTGCTAGGTGAACAGGAGAGTAGGTGTAAGGAAACGCGTCAAAATGTTTCTACCCCACCGGGAATCGAACCCGGGCCCTCTGTATGTGTGAAGCAAGAGCTTTGCCAGCCAGGCCACGGGGTCACTCAAGAGCTTACATAATCTTTAGACCCACCTTCCTCGAAGACTAATGCAGTTATACATATAGGACCAATCCAATCTACAATACCTAGCACATTTCATTGATGATTGTAGAAGAAAGTTTTTCCACACTACTAGACACACTTCCTAATGGTACATTGTTCTCTGAGAACATCCCCAACTTTGCTGCTAAATTTAAGACTTGCACAGCCAGCACATGAAACTATTAAAAATATTAACAAAGGGCAACACAGTGGATTCAATGCTAGTATTTACACCATCCACACATATGGCATGTGATAAACCATACATAAGGGAAACATCTAGGAGCTTCAAAAAATACAGTAACAAGCAAATACTTAAAAATACCTGCATCATACCTCTCAACACCTACAATCATCTCATTATCAATCAAGATGCCAGGTTTGAGTTGCAGATGCAGTTTAGAATCTGCTCTCATCACTACTACCAACACAACTGCCCAAATTCACATGACACTTTTATGATCTCTGAATACTTGCCAAACACATATTACCTAAGCAGAACACTGACATCACCCAGCTCTGCCCTGCAACCTATGAAACACCTTACCTCACCCATTATATATACAGAGTACTCCATATTCTATTCATTGTGCTGGATTTTTAAAGTTCCTGGTGGGTAAAAGATCTTTTTGATATATGTCCTAGTTACCACAAGAGTCTTCCAGACATTATGTTTAAAGTGTTATCATATTCAGCATACAAGTGCTTTTCTGTAATTTTTAATTTTCGAAGTTTTTGCCGTGTATGTATACATCAACGGCTTTTTCCAATTTTTCTCCAAAAGAATATGTTATTCTGGATGGTGGGTCTAGGCAAAGGAGTCCCTTCGTACGTAAATAAACCTGAAGAAACTAACTTTTTATTTTTTTATACCAGTATTATTTCCTAAAAATGCACATATGCCAGAACTATTACAAAATGCCTGTGGGGGAGCCATGATTAAACTTCTTAAAATTTGTCTTTTAAATGGATAGCCGCTCTTATTAAATATGCTTGCCCATTACTACAGTTTTTCTTTAGGCAAATTTAAAGCCATCTTGATACAGTCTGCATGGAAAATATTAATGTGTATGGGATTAACTACCAATTTAATCAGTTGACAATAAAATGTAAAATTTCTACTGGTCTGAGTTTTGAACAATAACACATTAACATCCTTAATTACTTGAGCTTTTCATGCACCATCTTTCTCAAAACAGAAAAATTTAAATTAAAAAACAAAAGCTTCCATTTATGTAATTACTCTCAATTAATAACATAACTAATATTGTATACCTAAAACTAACTTTTGGTTTCCTAATGCCTGTAGTAAGACTCATTCCTTAAGACAGGGAAATTAACAAGACATAGGTCCAAATTTTGTTCACCTGACCAACAGCATGTCATTATCGTAACATCACAACATTCAAACAAGTTTCAGTAGCATTTATTTCACTTTAATTGTACTTTACCATAGTGTATCCAACAGGTTCCAAGCAGCCTGTACCAAACATACTTAAGAAAAAAAAATATATAGGTATATATATACGTATATATAAAAAATGTAAAGGATCTTGCCATGAAATGGGTACTCACACCAATTTTAACTGAATATTGTACTATGTAACAAAATTTGTAATTATGAAAGACACTAAAAAACAGTCTTCCTCTCTCTAATGAATGAAATTAAAAAATGGTGTGCAGCTCAATACCTTTCCTGGATTTTTAACAATATGGAAACTGATAAATTTAGCACTTAATATCTAAAGTAAATTTAAGGTTTCCTTTATGCAGTTATATCTTATTTTGTAATAACTGACAGAACAAAAGGTAAACTGATCATTCATTTTCTGTCTTAATGCAACTAACATATGACACTGTTAGAGATCTCTGTTAAATTGATTATAATTTATGGCAAAAATATCCTACACTGGCCAGATAATAAACTTGTATTTCTCCAATAAAATAATGCATATTGCATCAAGTTAAATCATAAAGAAACCTTATATATTTTGTGTTTCCTATAATTTTTGCCACACTGAATGCAGAAAAAAGGACCAGTGCTATTACAATAAATTAGTTCTTACTTACTAATGAGTAGATGTAACATTTCTAATAAAATAAAATAAATACACCAGTGATTCTTTGTTATTTAACTAATTTTTGCTAAACAATCATAGAAGCATTTACTATAACTATCCTTGCTTTTCTATATGGACACTGACTAAAAGAAAATAGGAATATGACATAACTTGCATTTGACTATACCTTCCATTAATTCCAAGTTCTTATCATAATTGTAACAAAGATTCCAGAAATGCAGAAACATAACTCTAAACACAATCCGATAAGAAAAATGCATGTTATATATTTCTCAATAGAGTAATTCAAATATCAGACTCCATTCATAATAAGTTCATCGAGGCACACTATCACTAAAGTATGGGAGTCCTTTCCAACTGGAAATGCCAAAACAACTGTACTCTACTTATAAACATAAAAAATCAAAGGTTCACTACTTATCAATTGTAGTAAGCCCGCAGCTTAAGCTAATAGTAAATGTATCATGGTCAACTAATATTTCTGCTTACTTGGTAAAAAATTACAAAGAATCTAATCCTTTGAAACTTATCTCATTAAAAGAATCCACAAGCTTCACACTAACTTCATTCACTCAATAGATATGACACATCAATTATCACATATAACATTTCTTCAACATTATATACCTATAATCTTCCTCAAATCCTCAACTATCAATAGTTGTCATGAAGTCCTCTGTGATAATGGCTTGGACGATATAATTATGTACGATATTGCACTCACACACAAGCAGACGGTCACCAAGCAGCTTTCCACCATAAAACCAACGCTGACGACTGCCATTCAGGTTCTCTTGAATCTGGAAAAGATCATAGCTTATAACTGCAGTAACATCATAAAAATCCTAAACAGCCACTGATATGGTGTCAGTAACAGTAGCCTAGCTATACCACATTACAAAAAACATTTATTTATACTGTATTCATAATTAAATTTCTCTTTTAAAGCAACTTATTAACTTTAGAAATAAGCATCCTTTGAAATTCTTCTTAAAATTTATACAGCCAGTGGTTAGGTTAGGTAAGTACTATAAATCATCATTAAGCAGATTCAATATGAGGTATACTATACAGTACAGTTCAGTGTGTGTGGTGTGAACATCATGCAAAGAACTTGGAGTGCAGAAATCGATAGGCAATGTTGGGTGACCAAGGGAATAATTTCATGAAATGAGGAGTGATTGCTAGCATGTAGAGTAGGTAGGTAGTTGTTGATTATTGATGAATGATTGATGGATTGATTGATGGATTGATGATGGATTGATGGATTGATGGATGGATTGATGGATGGATTGATGGATGGATTGACGGATTGATGATGATGATGAAGAATAACAGAAAAAGGCACAATACCGTGACTGGAACGATACACAAATAACCCGCACATAAAAGAGAGAAGCTTACGACGACGTTTCGGTCCGACTTGGACCATTGACAAAGTCACACTAACCAGAAGTGGAGCAGGACGGCTATATATGGGCAGGAAGAGGTGGTGGTAGTAGTAGTACAAGAATGGTATATAATACCGACAAGATGAAATTAAGACACATGCGCAACACCCGGGCATCCCTATCGTAGACGTTTCGCCATCCAGCCAGCCACTGGATGGCAAAATGTCCACAACAAAGACAACCAGACGCCGCACATGTGTCTTAATTTCATCAGTAGTTGTAGTAGTAGTAGTAGTAATAGTAGTAGCAGAGGTAGTAGTAGTGGTAGAAGTGGGAAATAAGGAGGACGAGCCAGTCAAATACAAAGGAAGGGGAGCACTGCAAGAGAGCTAGGTGCCCACTGAGGGAGAGCAAGCACACAGAGGTGGGTGAAAGGGGAAGTGGTGAAATAAATGAAGAAGGAACAGAAACACGAGACAGAAGAGAGAAAGACAACCCAGAGGAGAAAAGGAAAGAGGAAAGGGGAAGAGGGAGAAGAAGAAAAAGAAAAAGAAAAAATGAGGAGTCAGGTTAAGTCACGGGTGTTCTGAAGTTTGGAGCATTTTACAATGTAGTGGGAGAGGAAGGCATCTACAGAGACGAAGCCAGGCTAAGGTTCATACAAGGAAAGTTGTGTATTAGAGAGGATTCAACTAGACGGCGACTGTTCGAGTTGGAAGTAGGGAAGACAGTTTTAGCAGAAGACCAGTCAATAGGATGGCTATGATCTCTGACGTGACAGAAAAGAGGCATTGTTAGTGTCGGCAAGCCTAACACTATTTTTGTGCTCCCTAAGTCTGTCAGAAAGAGATCGACCAGTTTCTCCCAAGTATTGAAGAGGACAGGAGGAGCAAGAAATAGAGTAGACACCAGGAACATGTGGCATGTACATTCACTACTTTTCCTATCATGCTTCCCCTGTCAAGAAAAGTGTTCTTATCTCCCTCTTTCTCCGTGCCCTCCGCATCTGTGATCCTCAGTTCCTTCCAGCAGAAATTTCCACTCTTCATAATTCGTTTTCCCGTCTTGGCTACCCTTCCCATTTCATAGACTCTGCCCTCTCATGTGCTAAACGCAATTTCTTCTCTCCCAAACTCTCTACTCCTGGGAACTCTTCTATCCTCTGCGTTCCCTACATTTCCGGTCTTTCTAATCTCAACAATTCTTTCCGTCCCTTAGACATCAAGCTTACCTTCCGCCAGAAAAAAACACTCTTCGCACTAATCTCGTTCATAGCTCTCCTCCCTCTAAAAGATGTTCCTGGTGTCTACTCTATTTCTTGCTCCTCCTGTCCTCTTCAATACTTGGGAGAAACTGGTCGATCTCTTTCTGACAGACTTAGGGAGCACAAAAATAGTGTTAGGCTTGCTGACACTAACAATTTCTCTATTCTGTCACGTCAGAGATCATAGCCATCCTATTGACTGGTCTTCTGCTAAAAAATGTCTTCCCTACTTCCAACTCGAACAGTCGCCGTCTATTGAATCCTCTCTAAATACACAACTTTCTTTTTATGAACCTTAGCCCTGGCTTTGTCTCTGTAGATGCCTTCCTCTCCCACTACATTGTAAAATGCTACAAACTTCAGAACACCCGTGACTTAACCTGACTCCTCATTTTTTCTTTTTCTTCTTCTCCCTCTTCCCTTTTCTTTTCTCCTCTGGGTGTCTTTCTCTCTTCTGTCTCGTGTTTCTGTTCCTTCATTTATTTCACCACTTCCCCTTTCACGCACCTCTGTGCACTTGCTCTCTCTCAGTGGGCACCTAGCTCTCTTGCAGTGCTCCCCTTCCTTTGTATTTGACTGGCTCGTCCCCCTTATTTCCCACTTCTTCTTATGAAATTAAGACACATGTGCAGCATCTGGTTGTCTTTGTTGTGGACGTTTCGCCATCCAGTGGCTGGCCCGGATGGCGAACGTCTACGACGGGGATGCCCGGGTGTTGCGCATGTGTCTTAATTTCATCTTGTCGGTATTATATACTATTCTTGTACTTTCTTCCTCCTCTTCCTGCCTATATATAGCCGTCCTGCTCCATTCTGGTTAGTGTGACTTTGTCAATGGTCCAAGTCGGACCGAAACATGTGTAAGGTTCTCTCTTTTATGTGCGGGGTTTTTTGGAGGAGGAGGAGGAGGGGAGGAGGAGGAGGAGGAGGAGGAGGAGGAGGAGGAGGAGGAGGAGGAGGGGGAGGAGGAGGGGAGGAGGAGGAGGGAGGGGGGGAGGAGGAGGAGGAGGAGGAGGAGGAGGAGGAGGAGGAGGAGGAGGAGGGGGAGGAGGAGGAGGAGGAGGGGAGGAGGAGGAGGAGGAGGAGGGGAGGAGGAGGAGGAGGAGGAGGAGGGGGGAGGGGAGGAGGAGGAGGAGGAGGAGGAGGAGGAGGAGGAGGAGGAGGAGGAGGAGGAGAGGAGGAGGAGGAGGAGGAGGAGGAGGAGGGGGGAGGAGGAGGGGGGAGGAGGGGGAGGAGGAGGAGGAGGAGGAGGAGGGGGAGGAGGAGGAGGAGGAGGAGGAGAGGGGGAGGAGGAGGAGGAGGAGGAAGAGAGGGGAGGAGGAGGAGAGAGAGGAGGTGAGGGGATGGTGGGAGGTGGAGGAGGAGGAGGAGGATGATGATGGGGATGATGATGATGAAGTTATGATGTGGGGATGATGATGAGAGGGTGATGTGAGAGGGTGATGATGAGGAGGATGATGATGATGATGAGGGGGTGATGATGAGGGTGATGATGAGGAGAGGGTGATGAGGGGGTATGATGAGGATGATGATGAGGGTGATGTGATGAGGATGATGATGAGGATGATGATGAGGATGATGATGATTTAGGATGATGGGTGATGGGATGATGATGAGGGGGTGATGATGAGGAGGTGGAGGAGGATGATATGAGGGGATGATGATGAGGATGATGAGGATGATGAGGAGGAGGAGGAGGAGGAGGGGGGATGAGGAGGGGGATGAGGGGGATGATGAGGTGATGAGGAGGATGATGAGGAGGAGGAGGATTTAGGAGGAGGATGAGGAGGAGGAGGAGGAAGGAGGATGGGAGGAGGATGAGGAGGATGATGAGGAGGATGATGAGGATGATGAGGAGATGATGAGGAGGATGATGAGGAGGAGGGTGATGATGAGGATGATGAGGGATGATGAGGATGATGAAAAATGATAAAGAGGATGATGATTAGGATGATGGGGGATGATGAAAATGAGTGATGAGGTAGGTTTGAGGATGAAGTTTTAGTGAAAAGATGAGATTTTATGAATGAGGATGATTGAGGAAAAAGTTTGATGAGCGATGATATGAGAGGGTGATGATGAGGGGAAAAGATGGTTTAGTAGAAAATTTAAATTTTACTCAAAAAAGAAAGATGTTTTAAAATTTGTTGAAAGGGTAATGTGCCAGGCACTCTGCCCAGGGCCAGATCATGGAACTCTGGTCATCAGAACTGCAAGAAGCCCCTATCCGAGCCTTTCCATCCTATGGAGAGGAGCAGGACACGGGGTGTCCCTCAGTTACTAAAACAACAGACATAGCCCCACTCCACAAAGGGGGCAGTAAGCAACAGCAAGAACTACAGACCAATAGCACTAACATCCCATATCATAAAAATCTTTGAAAGGGTCCTAAGAAGCAAGATCACCACCCATCTAGAAACCCATCAGTTACACAACCAGGGCAACATGGTTTAGAACAGGTCGCTCCTGTCTGTCTCAACTACTGGATCACTACGACAAGGTCCTAAATGCACTAGAAGACAAAAAGAATGCAGATGTAATATATACAGACTTTGCAAAAGCCTTCGACAAGTGTGACCATGGCGTAATAGCGCACAAAATGCGCGCTAAAGGAATAACAGGAAAAGTCGGTCGATGGATCTATAATTTCCTCACTAACAGAACACAGAGAGTAGTCGTCAACAGAGTAAAGTCCGAGGCAGCTACGGTGAAAAGCTCTGTCCCACAAGGCACAGTACTAGCTCCATCTTGTTCCTCATCCTCATATCCGACATAGACAAGGATGTCAGCCACAGCACCGTGTCTTCCTTTGCAGATGACACCCGAATCTGCATGACAGTGTCTTCCATTGCAGACACTGCAAGGCTCCAGGCGGACATCAACCAAATCTTTCAGTGGGCTGCAGAAAACAATATGAAGTTCAACGATGAGAAATTTCAATTACTCAGATATGGTAACATGAGGAAATTAAATCTTCATCAGAGTACAAAACAAATTCTGGCCACAAAATAGAGCGAAACACCAACGTCAAAGACCTAGGAGTGATTATGTCGGAGGATCTCACCTTCAAGGACCATAACATTGTATCAATCGCATCTGCTAGAAAAATGACAGGATGGATAATGAGAACCTTCAAAACTAGGGAGGCCAAGCCCATGATGACACTCTTCAGGTCACTTGTTCTATCTGGGCTGGAATATTGCTGCACTCTAACAGCACCTTTCAAGGCAGGTGAAATTGCCGACCTAGAAAATGTACAGAGAACTTTCACGGCGCGCATAACGGAGATAAAACACCTCAATTACATGGGAGCGCTTGAGTTTCTAAACCTGTATTCCTGGAACGCAGGAGGAGAGATACATGATTATATACACCTGGAAATCCTAGAGGATAGTACCAAACTTGCACACAATAATCCTCACTACGATAGCATAAGACTTGGCAGACGATGCAATCCCAATGAAAAGCAGGGGTGATCACTAAGCACGTTAAGAGACCATAAATAAGTGTCAGGGGCCCGAGACTGTTCAACTGCCTCCCAGCACAATATAGGGGATTACCAACAGACCCTGCAGTCTTCAAGTGGCACTGGACAACACCTAAGACAGTTCCTGATCAGCCTGGGCTGTACTCGTAAGTTGGTTTGGCGTGGCAGTCAGCAGCAACAGCCGGTTGATCAGGCGCTGATCCACCAGGAGCACTGGTCACAGATCGGCCGCGGGGCGTTGACCCGAAACTCTCTCCAGGTAACTCAGAAGCAACAGAACCATCTCAACTACTCCAAGCTGATTCCTTGCTACATGACACTGTTATTAGATGACCTGAAGCCTTCACTTCATCTTCACCAATGACCTGTTTTCTTTAGTATAGTTTAGTATAGCTTGTTAGATTTAACCCTTTGACTGTCGTGGCCGTATATATACGTCTTACGAGGTACCGTGTTTGATGTATACATACTCATAAATTCTAGCGGCTTCAAATCAAGCAGGAGAAAGCTGGTAGGCCCACATGTGAGAGAATGGGTCTGTGTGGTCAGTGTGCACCATATAAAAAAAATCCTGGAGCACGCAGTGCATAATGAGAAAAAAAAAACTCCGACCGTTTTTTTAATTAAAATGCGAACTTTGTGGTCTATTTTCGTATAGTATTTATGGTTGTATTCTCGTTTTCTTGGTTTCATTTGATAGAATGGAAAACATATTATAGAAATAGAGGTGATTTTGATTGATATTACTATAAAAAGAACCTAGAAATGGAGCTCAAAGTAGGGGAAATGTTTGATATTTGCCAATGTTCAAAAGTAAACAAATGATGCCATTTTTGTCCAATAAATGTCCAACTAGCCATTCTAATATGCAGTCATGAATGGGTTATGTTATTTACACAATTATTACAGTATTGCAGTAGTCTGCATAATAGTAAGTCTTCTATTTTTTGTTTGAATAAAAATTCAAAATAGAAAGCAAGAGTAATATCAGAGGGGCCTGGAGACATGACTGATGAGCAAAGAAAATGTTATTTTAGAGCCAGGAATGTCTGCATTGTTCATTCTGGACCTTATTTTGAAATTGTCATATTTTTTAGTTTTCGTGAAATTGGCCAAATTGCAAATTTCTGACCACATTATTAGGTAGTTGAAATCGGTAAATGGGCAGTTTCTTGTACTCAATCGATAGAAAAAATGGAGTTCTAAAGAAATAGCTATGAGTTTGGGCGACTGGAACAATGGAATTAGCCGAAAATAGGGCTCAAAGTGGGCGAAATCGCCGATTTGTAAATGGCGCCGAGGTCGCTAACTTCGCGAGAGCATAATTCCGTCAGTTTTCCATCAAATTTCGTTTTTTTTTGGTGTCATTACAATCGGGAAAAGATTCTCTATCATTTCATAAGAAAAAATAATTTTTTTTTTTAAATTTTGCGACACCAGGAGACACCTCAGGATTGGGGGTTGCGACAGTCAAAGGGTTAATATAGTTTGTTAGATTATGTATTGGTGAATAAAAGGTTGATGGGTAGGCTTCAGGATGTACATGTTTACAGAGGGGCAACTGATATATCAGATCATTATTTAGTTGTAGCTACAGTTAGAGTAAGAGGTAGATGGGACAAAAGGAAAATGGCAACAATAAGTAAGAGAGGTGAAAGTTTAGGGTGAGATGTAAGCAACTTTTGGCAGAAAAGTGGGCTAGTGCAAGTATGGGTAGTGCAGGGGAAGGGGGCTTGAAGAGGGATGGGATAGTTTTAAAAATGCAGTATTAGAATGTAGGGCAGAAGTTTGTGGTTATAGGAGGATGGGTGCAGGAGGAAAGAGGAGTGATTGGTGAAATGATGAGGTAAAGGGTGCGATAAAAGAGAAGAAGGTAACTCATGAGAGACTTTTACAAAGCAGAAGTGATATAAGAAGGGCAGAGTATATGGAGAGTAACAGAAAGGTGAAGAGAGTGATGAGAGAGTGCAAAAGGAGAGCAAATGATAGAGTGGGAGAGGCATTGTCAAGAAATTTTGCCGAGAATAAGAAAACATTTTGGAGATAAACAAGTTAAGAAAGTTTAGGGAATGCATGGATTTGTCAATTAAAAACAGTAGGAGAATTAGCAGATGGGGAGTTGGAGGTATTAGGTAAATGGCGGGAATATTTTGAGGAACTTTTAAATGTCAATGAAGAAAGGGAAGCAGTAATTTCATGCACTGGCTAGGGAGGTATAACATCTTTTAACAGTGAAGAAGAGCAGGACATGAGTGTGGGGGAGGTGCGTGAGGCATTATGTAGAATGAAAGAGGGTGAAGCTATTTTTTTATACAATGTGAAATCAATTGTCAATCATTCCTCTGTAATATTTTGAGTCCTGTCCATGGGATAGGTATAAGGTGCATAAACTTGAAACAACAACTGTCCATAAATTATTATATGCACAAACAGGTTGAGAGAGAGAGTACAGTTTATATTAGAAATGATACATACATCAAGCTTTCTCTTTGCTGTGGCAATGGAGTCTGTTGAACGCACTGTCAACTTTACATCTTTACTGGTAGTGGAAAGACGGACTTTAAGAATAGTCTCTTCTCCTTCTACACTTGCTTCTGTAAATTATTAACATACATTTGTTAATTTATATAACAGGAAAAATACGCAAAAATGCAGTATGCTGTGTTCCTCTATTGACTACGTTTCACCCACACAGTGGGCCTTATCAAGTCTTATTAAGTCAAACAAATTTACCTGAGCAGAGTACATGAGATAGAGAGCATAGTGACGTGAAGGGTTGGATTTGAGAAGGACCTGCAATGAATGGTCAAGTAGGTTCGTTGCTATGTAATATAATGAAGTTTCCTGGCTAGGGGTTCAGCTATGCTGTAAAAGCTGTTGTTCTGGTTGAGATTGTTGAATGTACAGATGAGTGATGATTCCAAGATCCTGTGACACTGTTTTCTGACCTGGCGATGAGTCTTGCTTGGTTGTGGAAGTTTTTGGTGTAAAACACAAGCATTTCTCAAATTGTCCTTTCTGCTTGTGTACTGGTATTCTGAAATGTGTGTTTGGAGATTGTTATATCTTGGAGATTGGTTAACCTGTGTTATTTAACTATTGTAAGAGAATATGATCATCACTTAATATTATAGCGCGAAAGTCCCCGTTTATAGCTAGAATAGAGACTTTCGGCGTTATATTATTATCTGTTAAAATATGTAAAAAATACCATGGTATTGTCCCTATTTTATTATTATTATTGTTAGGTAGGATTTCTTATGTATATAGAGCATAAGTCTCGGAACCATCTGGTGAATTGTTCAATTGTTTATGTCCGGCTGACTGATGTTTGGGTCAGGTGATCCACCTGACGACAGGTCAACAGACTGGCAGGTAGTCAGTCCACTCCCTGCTCTAGCCTTGACAACTGATCGTATATTGGCTCTCTTAGGGTGTACAGTTTGAATGGGTTTGAGAATTAGTCTCTAGAGCCGACTCAGTTTGTTCCTCATTGCTCTGAAAGATTCTTTTGATATTTATATTCTTGGTCAGTTCAGTAATCCATAGAGATACGTCTTCCCAGACAAACTCTTGCTTTCTACTTACTTTACGGACGGATTCAAAGGTCTTGTTGAATCTTGTACATTTTGTAGTTTGAGTTTACACCATCTTGTTAAGACAAAGACGTAAATGTTAGTGAAGACTTAATTACAGGAAGAATAATTAATCTTCCTTATTAATGTGATATTTCCATGATTTTGAACTAAATGTATATTGTAAATTTATTGTACAAAGTATTAAGATATAATATTAGGTACAGAGAAAAGATAAAGTATTGTACTTAAATACTTTAATAAATTTGAATATTATTCTATGGAGTTTCCCAGTTGAAATTATTTCCCCTAGACTCTAAAATACCTTTAACTAACTCTGATCCCAAATCTTGTTGCCTATGTAGAAAATAGTAACAGACCACATTCTGAAGTTCTTTATAAAATTTCTTATTCGCAACAAGATGCAAGACTCATCACTAGAGAAGACAGTCAATGTTGTAAGATCTTGTACTGTACTCCAATCTTTCTTCTCAAATACTGTCAGAGTACTGTAAATGTATGCTTGTATACTGAACATAGGAAATAGGAGGGCTGGGGAAGGGGTGAAAGGTCAGGGAAGGGGGTAATCAGGTTTGATCCGAACAGAAGGGTACTCTGTATCCCTTGAATCAAGACCCCTTTACCAGCATCAATGCACACACCATAAGGGTAAACATGTTCAAAATTTAATGATGGGCGTTACTAGAAATAATTTTGTCTACAGTTCCCCTCCCTCCTTTTTTTTTTTTTTCCACCACTGAATTTACAGGCTAAGAGTGACTAATTGAGATGGGATAAGATTCAAGGTGCATTGTGAGTCAAGACTGTGAAATGCCTTAGGTCCAGCTGAGAGGCAGGCGGCTGTGTGACAGATTTAAAAATCAATATTTGAATTTGTTTCATCTGGACTAAAAAAAAAAAAAAAATTTACACTTTTGAAATCATAATTAGGAAAAAAAAAAAAAAAACAGATGGGAGTCTATTATGCTACCACCCCTCCCAGAGTGAGACCCAAAACAATTACAGATCCGCCATCACAAATCCGGCAATCAGACATCCAGTTCCATCAGTTATTCGGCACTAATTTTGGCTAGCATAATTTCAATTTTCCAGGGTTGCCACACCAACCTGCTGGTACTGTTTGGTGGTGCTACTTGCTGCATAAATCATTCCAATTTCTTTTTTTCCATTTAGTGTTATAACCTGCTTACTTTTTAGCCCTAGTCATGGTTCCAACGAATAAAAGAAATGCTTCTCGTTGTGGAAAGCACCTACACAGTACATTGTCCATTAAAAATACGGTGGCTTTGAAGCCACTGTCAGTTGCTATGAGCTGTCTCGTGATGCAGGGGAATATGCTTTATTATTACGCTAATATCAACACTACGGCTTATTTGCCTATTACAATTGATCTAATTATGACATAATAAACAATACAAATAACATAAAAACACATTAAATACTCCAGAATGACTAATATTTGGAATAATACTGAGCAGTTTGACGGAAGTATGAAGAGGATATGGGATACAAGTACCATTCTCCTATCCCTGTCTTGGGGTCTTATATTAGAGAAAACGGAGTACAGCACAGGGCTGTGACATACACTCGTACTGCACCATGAAACTGAAACAAAAAAACTATTTTCTCTACATTATCACACATATCAGCATGTGTGTAGAAAACCTAGGGTAACCCAAAAAAGTCAGACAAAGTGGCTTATTTCTAGTACCTGGCTTGAGCTAGCCATATATGATTTTTGGTATACGTATATTCGAGTCCCAGCCAGGGTAGAAACATTGGGCATGTTTCTTTACACCTGTTGTCTATGTTCACCCATCAGTAAATGGGTAAGATAAGATTTCGTTCGGATTTTTAACCCCGGAGGGTTAGCCACCCAGGATAACCCAAGAAAGTCAGTGCGTCATCGAGGACTGTCTAACTTATTTCCATTGGGGTCCTCAATCTTGTGCCCCAGGATGCGCCCCACACCAGTCGACTAACACCCAGGTACCTATTCGCTGCTAGGTGAACAGGACAATAGTGTAAGGAAACGTGTCGAAATGTTTCCACCCGCCGGGAATCGAACCTGGGCCCTCCGTGTGTGAAGCAGGAGCTTTAGCCACCAGGCCACCGGGCCACCTGGGTGTTAGTGAACTGGTGTGAATCTTTTCCTGTGACAATGATCTAATTTGCCTGAAATGCTTAGCATAACAAGGGGCTTTCTATATAGTAGTATGTCACTGATGTCAGCTAGGCCCGTATACCACGTATATGTATATGTAGTAAATAAAAATATTATTATTATAATTATTATTTTCTCTCAGTTGTTTATTGGGCTATCTTAATAAAACTTGGGCAATGTATGATGGGAAGATGCTTCTTAATGCACACCAAAAATGAAAGAAATCAGACCATAAATAGTAGAGTTCACTTCTCAGCCATTAGCGGCCCCATAGCGGTATATTTTTGTATGGTTTTTATGGTTGTATTCTCGTTTTTTTGGTCTCATTTGACAGAATGGAAGATGTATTACAGAAATAGATGTGATTTTGATTGGTTTCATGACGAAAAGTACCTCGAAACTGAGCTCAAAGTAGTGGAAATGTTTTTTGCTGATGTTCAGTGAACTTTAAGTCAAGTAGGTTAATTTTATTAAGTGTATTCTAGCCTAATCACTCTGTAATCCGGCAAACTCAGTAATCCGGCACACTACAGGTCCCAACGATGCCGGATTTGTGATAAAGGACCTGTACCACCCAGAAACCTATTTACTGCTAAATGAACAAGGGCAACAAACGTAAGGAGACTTACTCAATGTCTACTCACTTGTGACTGAACCTGGGTTCTTCTAAAAAGAGTTGAAGTCATTACCACCAAGCTATGAGCCACCTAATCCTGAATACGATGCTGTACTATACTTTTTTAAAAAAAATTAACCTACGAACAGTGAACTATAGTCGTGTTTACTATAAGTAAATACACATGTAATACTTGCCTGCTTCATTTTCTCCATCTTTGTCAGGTGATCGTTGAAGGATGTTGAGTGGGTAAGAGAGGCAATAAACAGGTAGCTGGTACCTTGTTCCTAGCTCATCATAGCAATCAGTCAAGGCACCTGTAGTATTGAACACTATTACATCAACAGTTAATTCTGGCATGAAAAATTACTGGAGTAATAATTTAAAAAAAAGTGCTGAACCTTCATGGGCCATACAGTACTGCAGTTAGTGTATGTGTGTACACAGGGCCTATGATAGGGAGAGTTCAGCCAGTACATTAGTCTGGGGCCTGGTTGTGAATCTCTGAAGAGGCCCCATAGCCATAAAAGTGTTATTCTGATTTTTCATTTGATTTTTTTTTTTTTTTTGGTAATTTCAACTATTTTTAGTAAAATAATTATGTAAAATTCACTTAGACTGAGGCCTCAGCCTACCTCCAAGGGCCCCAAAGCAATCTTGTTTCACCTTGCAAAATTTCTTTTGGAGGCTGTATGTACATGTGTGTGTATGTGAGAGAAAACTTGACGGGGGTAGTGGATTTAGGGGTTATTAAAAGTGCAAAAAGTCATAGTTTGTGCAATAGGTTATTTATGTAAGAAAATCTAAGTGAACCTACTTCAAAGGTGGGACTGGCATTATTTTTTTTTTTTAACACATTGGTCATTTCCCACTATGGCAGGATAACCCCAAAAAGAAGAAACATTTTCATCCTCATTCACTCCATCACTGTCTGGCCAGAGGCATGCCAACACTGAAATACTCTGCTTTTATAAAAACAGTGTATCATGCCAAGATAAAACCATGCCCATTACTAAATTTACTAACTGTAATATTATGTTTTGTACTACCTCACTGTTATCAATCTAACCCTTTCAGGGTTTCCGACGTACTAGTATGGCTTACGCACCAGGGTTATTGACGTACTAGTACGCGTAAATTCTAGCGCCTTCAAATCTAGCAAGAGAAAGCTGGTAGGCCTACATATGAAAGGATGGGTCTATGTGATCAGTGTGCACAGTATAAAAAAAATTCTGCAGCACACAGTGCATGAGAAAAAAAACTGTACTGTATTTTTTGTATGGTATTTATGGTTGTATTCTAGTTTTCCTGGTCTCATTTTATAGAATGGAAGACATATTACAGAAATTGAGATGATTCTGATTGGTTTCACAATGAAAAATACCTTGAAATTTAGCTTAAAGTAGCAGAAATGTTCGATTTTTGCTAAAGTTCAAAAGTAAACAAGTGCCATGCGTCCAATGCACATCAACTGGTGAGTCTAATATTCTTTCACAAGTGTGCTGATATTATTTATACCATTTCTATACTAATGTAGTAGTCTGCATAACAGTAAATCTTCTGTTTTTTGTGAGAAAAAAATTCAAAGTGGAAAGCAAAAGAAATGTAAGATGGGCCTGGGGACGTGACTAATGAAGAGATGAAATGTTATTTTAGTACTAGGAATGTATCTTGTTTATTCTGGACCCTATCTGGAAATTGGCATCTTTTGAAATTTGTGTGAAATTGGCAAAATTGCTAATTTCTGACCACTTTATTGGATAATTGGAATTGGTAAATGGGTGGTTTCTTGTACTCATTCGATAGAAAAAATGGAGTTCTAGTGAAATAGTTATGATTTTTTGTCGACAAGTACAGTGGAATTGGCCAAAAATAGGGCTCAAAGTGGGCGACATCACTAATGTGTAAACATCGTCGAGACCACTAACTTCGTGAGAACATAATTCCCTAAGTTTTCCCTCAGATTTCATACTTTTGGTGTCATTATGATCAGGAAAATATTCTCTATCTTTTCATAAGAAAAAATCATTTTTTTTTTCCGAAAAATTTTCGACCTTGAGAACAAGTTTAGGAGAGGTCCTCTCCTAAACTTCAATTTCCTAACTTTTACATCAATATGCAATTCAACAAGTTGGCCATCTCCCACCGAGGCAGGGTGACCCAAAAAGAAAAACCCCCATAAAGAAAATACTTTCTACATCATTCAACACTTTCACCTCACTCATACATAATCCCTGTTTTTGCAGAGGCACCCAGATATAACAGTTTAGAAGCATATATGTATAAAGATATACAGTGGACCCTCGACCAATGATATTAATCCGTTCCAGAGAGCTTGTCCTTAGCCGAATTAATTTTCCCCATGAGAAATAATGGAAATCCAATTAATCCGTTCCAGACAGCCAAAAGTATCAAAAAATTTTTTTTTTTTTCATGAAATATACATTTCCCTACAAAGAAAACAATGAGATATGCACAATAACTACATAAATAAATGCTAAAATGACACTTACCTTTACTGAAGATTATTGATGAGTGATGAGACCTTTTTCTTGAACACTCTGGGATTTTCAGAGTGATACATGAATAAAGGTTTCACTTTGCAATCCCCACTAGCATTACAACAAAACATGAGAGTTAGCCTGTCTTTCATAGGCTTGTGTCCTGGGAGTGCCTTTTCCTCCTGAGTAATGTAGGTCCTGTTTGGCATTTTCTTCCAGAACAGGCCTGTTTCGTCACAATTGAACACTTGTTGGGGGTTGGAATTTTTCAGCTTTGCCATGCCTTATCACACTGTGTATGCCACTATGATTCTTAAATCTCTCAAACCAACCTTTGCTGGCCTTAAATTCACCAATATGAGCACTAGTTCCAGGATTTTTTCCTGTTCACCTGCGTGTTGGTGGACTGGTGTGGGTCGCATCCTGGGGGACAAGATTAAGGACCCCAATGGAAATAAGTTAGACAGTCCTTGATGACTCGCTAACTTTCTTGGGTTATCCTGGGTTGCTAACCCTCTGGGGTTAATTGTTTCTCGTTAAGCCGCACCAACAAACATCTCTCCACATCTTCGAGTAGTACAGCTGACGGCAGTGCAGCAACAGCTGATGGTGGTGCAGCAGCAGCAGCTGATGGTGGTGCAGCAGCAGCTGACGGTGGTGCAGCAGCAGCTGACGGTGGTGCAGCAGCAGCTGATGGTGGTGCAGCAGCAGCTGATGGTGGTGCAGCAGCAGCTGATGGTGGTGCAGCAGCAGCTGATGGTGGTGCAGCAGCAGCTGACGGTGGTGCAGCAGCAGCTGACGGTGGTGCAGCAGCAGCTGACGGTGGTGCAGCAGCAGCTGACGGTGGTGCAGCAGCAGCTGACAGTGGTGCAGCAGCAGCTGACGGTGGTGCAGCAGCAGCTGAGGGTGGTGCAGCAGCAGCTGACGGTGGTGCAGCAGCAGCTGACGGTGGTGCAGCAGCAGCTGACGGTGGTGCAGCAGCAGCTGATGGTGGTGCAGCAGCAGCTGACGGTGGTGCAGCAGCAGCTGACGGTGGTGCAGCTGACCGTGGTGCAGCAGCAGCTGACCGTGGTGCAACAACAGCTGACGGTGGTGCAACAGCAGCTGACCGTGGTGCAGCAGCAGCTGACCATGGTACAGCAGCAGCTGATGGTGGTGCAGCAGCAGCTGACTGTGGTACAATAGTAATTCGATAGTATTTCTCACCCTTTTTACCACAGGGTTGGCACTAGAAACTTTCTTTGGGCCCATGGTGGCTTAATTAGCAGTTACAAGCACTAAAAACAATGGAATAATACAAAATGTATCGCATATGTGAGTGGAACCGTCCACCCTAGCTTGTAAACAATGGCACACTAGCTGAAGGCAGGGCAGCTGAGGCGCTCAGGCTGGACGGACAGGCAGACGCGTTCAGGACGAATGTTGTTACCCGAATATTGGTCGAGCCAATATTTTTACGCAGAAACGCATCGTTAGACGATTTTATTGTTAGACGATGCCATCGTTGGTCGAGGGTCCATCATATAACATATCCCTCCAAACTGCCAATATTCCAAACCCCTCCTTTAAAGTTCAGGCATTGTACTTCCCATTTCCAGTACTCAAGTCCAGCTATATAAAAACTGGTTTCCCTAAATCCCTTCACTAAATACAGTATTACCCTGCTCACACTCCATCAGCTCGTCAGGTCCCAAAAACCACTCATCTCCATTCACTCCTATCTAACACACTCACGCACACTTGCTGGAAGTCCAAGCCCCTCGCCCATAAAACTTCCTTTACCCCTCCCTCCATAACCTGTGCCAATATAGAGTAAGAATTAGGATTAGTCTGCCTGCAATGCCTAGGCATGCTAGTGGCTTTCTTTGTAATTAATATTTTATAATACGTAAACCAAACATTGTAAGCTTTGCAAGGAAATAAACATTTTAATTTTAACTACAGTTCAAAAACTGAAACACATCTCCACCTCTCCTTCAGAGCACAGGCACTGTAATTCCCACCTCCAGGACTCGAGTCCAGCTAACCGGTTTCCCTGAATCCCTTCATAAATGTTACTTTGCTCACACTCCAACACTATGTCAAGTCATAAAAACCATTTGCCTCCACTTTATCTTATCTAATATGCTCACTCATCCTTGCTGGAAGTCTAATCCCCTCGTACACAAAACTTCCTTTAGCCACTCCCTCCAACCTTTCCTAGGATGACCCCTACCCTGCCTTTCTTCCACTACAGATTGACACACCCTTCAAGTCATTCTATTTTATTCTATCCTCTCTAAATATCCAAACTACATCAACAACCCCTCCTCAGCCCTCTGGATAATACTTTTAGAAACTCCACAGCTTCTCCCATTCTCCAAACTACAGATTCTCTGCATAGTATTCACATTGCCCTCAGACATGACATCACTGCCTCCAGCCTTCTCTTTGTTGAAATATTCACCACCCATGCTTCACACCCATATAAGAGTATTGGTACCACTATATACTTATACATTCCCCATCCTTCGTCTCCACAGACTCCTCAGTGCACCACTCGACTTTTCCCCTTCATCAATTCTATGGTTCACCTTGTCTTCATAGACCCATTTGCTAACAAGTCAGCTCTCAAATATATGAACACATTCACTTCCTCCATACTCCCTTCCTCCAATCTGATATCCACGGTTTCATTACCCATTTTTTTTTATTATTCTCATCACCTCATTCTTTCCTGTGTTCACTTTCAACTTCCTTCTACACACCCTCCCAAATTCGTTTACCTCTGCAACTTCTCTTCAGAATCTCCTGAAAGTGTCATCAGCTAAAAGCTACTGTGACAACTCCCACTTTGTGTTAGATTCATCTTTTAAATCCACACCTCTTCCCAACACCTGAGCATTCACTTTTCTTTCTAACCCCATCTATAAACATACTGAGCAACCATGGTGACATCACACATCCCTGTCTCAACATATTTTCACTGTTCATTAACCCTTAAACTGTCCAAGCAGATCTACGTTTACATGCGTAGTGCTCCAAAAGTAGATCTACGTTTCTTTTACATATTTTCAAATACAAAAAACGTAGATCAAAGTTTTTTACACGTTTTCAAGTGTAAAAAAAAAAAGATCTACTTTTTTTTTTACATACTTTCAAATGTTGAAAAAACGTAGATCTACGTTTGGACAGTTTAAGGATTAAGATAAACCAGATGCTGTTGTGGCATTCTGCAATATACTGAACACAGAACATTTTTGTTATGAATTCTCTTTGGAGATGATTAGCACATGCAGGATGCAATTCTCTGAGAGAATGTCAATCAATACCATCACTTATTGGCTTTTATTAGATTTAAATGTTTAGCAGCAAATCCCATGCCTATCAAAATATCCTACAGTATAACAAAATCTATCATACATATACTGGACAGTATTTTGCTACGCTATAGGTATGGATATACAGTGCTGTACCCTGCTGGAGAAGGAAGGTTTAAGCTTGTCAAGGTCCCTCAACCAAAAGATGAGACATGTCTATGCAGCCACCCATTCAGTTACTACATAGACAATGTTGCTTATCCTGACTGACCCTAACATCATGGACCATGGACACCCTCATGTCAAATCAAATCAAGTTTATTCTCTATAAAGATTACAATGTGGGGTTTACATATTACAGGATATTGTGTGGTTTACATATTATAATTACAGAGAGGGCCACTATCACACCTAGCATGACTAGGCATTTTGGGCAGACTAAGATTAATTCAAAACTCTATAATGGTACAGATTAAGGAGCATATTGGTATTAAAGCTAAGTAACCACATTACAGTTCGCAAATTTAGCAATGTGAATGGTTTTGTTTTGGTACAATACATAGTTTCTAGTTAAGATTTGCTAGGTAATAGTTGTATTACATATTTCTATGTTTATAGTCAATTGGGTGAGTGTAGGTGCGAATTGTGGGGAATCACAGATATCGAGGGGAGGTCTAGGTTGTGTTTTTTGTGTGTGAGATACAAGAGAATAGGCAGTTTTCACGTAGTTAGCTGACAGTGGGGAGTGTCAGGGAGATAAGATATTTTTAACCCTTTGACTGTCGCGGCCGTATATATACGTCTTATGTCCTGGTGTCGCAAAATTTAAAAAAAAAAGTTTACAAATCGGCGATTTCGCCCGCTTTGAGCCCTATTTTTGGCTAATTCCATTGTTCCAGTCGCCCAAACTCATAGCTATTTCTTTAGAACTCCATTTTTTCTATCGATTGAGTACAAGAAACTGCCCATTTACCGATTTCAACTACCTAATAATGTGGTCAGAAATTTGCAATTTGGCCAATTTCACGAAAACTAAAAAATATGACAATTTCAAAATAAGGTCCAGAATGAACAATGCAGACATTCCTGGCTCTAAAATAACATTTTCTTTGCTCATCAGTCGTGTTTCCAGGCCCCTCTGATATTACTCTTGCTTTCTATTTTGAATTTTTATTCAAACAAAAAATTGAAGACTTACTATTATGCAGACTACTGCAATACTGTAATAATTGTATAAATAACATCAACCCATTCATGACTGCATATTAGAATGGCTAGTTGGACATTTACTGGAAAATGGCATCATTTGCTTACTTTTGAACATTGGCAAAAATCAAACATTTCCCCTACTTTGAGCTCCATTTCTAGGTTCTTTTTATAGTAAAATCAATCAAAATCATCTCTATTTCTATAATATGTCTTCCATTCTATCAAATGAGACCAAGAAAACGAGAATACAACCATAAATACTATACGAAAATAGACCACAAAGTCGGCATTTTAATTAAAAAAAAAAACGGTCGGAGTTTTTTTTTCTCATTATGCACTGCGTGCTCCAGGATTTTTTTTATATGGTGCACACTGACCACACAGACCCATTCTCTCACATGTAGGCCTACCAGCTTTCTCCTGCTTGATTTGAAGCCGCTAGAATTTATGAGTATATATACGTCAAACACGGTACCTCGTAAGACGTATATATACGGCCGCGACAGTCAAAGGGTTAAACGGTAGTCTTGAAGTGATGAATGTGTCTGCAGTGCTAGTTTTCAGGTAGGGTGTTCCAGATTTTAGGCCCCTTTATGTACATTAAAATTTTTGTATAGGTTTAGCCGGACATGGGGAACGTCATAGTGTTTGTGTCTGGTGTTATGCCTGTGGGTCCTGTTACAACTATCAAGAAAGTGTTTTAGGTCAGGGTTAATGTTGGAAGTTAAGGTTCTGTAAATGTAGGTTGCACAGTAGTAAGTATGGATGTTCTGAACAGTAAGTTTAGATCTATGAAGAGTGGGGGGGGGGGATTGGGTTCCCTGGGATTGGATTGTATGATTATTCTTACTGCAGCTTTTTGTTGGGTTATTACTGACTTTAGGTGTATTGCTGCAGTTGATCCCCAGGCACAAATAGCATAGGTGAGGTAGGGATAGATGTGTGAATGGTATAGTGTGAGAAGGGCAGATTGTGGTACGTAGTAACGTATCTTGGAGAGGATCCCAACCCTTTTGGATACTTTTTTTTTTGTTGTGTGTTGGATATGGATATGGTATGGATAATTTTTTCATAGCCAGCACATCAACATTATCTGGCCAGCTCTGTGGCAAGTGTAACAGAAATCATATGCCAAAACTGTAACACACTCAGATTTTTGTTAAGGAGAATCCTGCACTAGCTTATTTCTCTTCATTTCATTTTTTCTGAAAACTTTAATTTCACTTAAAATCACTGAAGCAATTGAAAATCTAAAAAAACACTCCAATCTACTTTTTTCTTCACAGGTTTCTTCTAGTCTCATAAGTGCCAAAAGCTCACTATTTTCTTATAAATAACTTTTCTAAGAGTATGTCAGATCTCCATATCCTTCACAAGCATATTCTCATTGTCAAAGAAGATGTCTACTTTTTCACACAACGGATAATACAGAAAAAGATCTGATAAGTTATGATTTTTGTTAGAAACATGGTGTATTAAAATGGCTGTATCATAAGAACCCTTCCTGTATGCCCTAAAACATGGAAATATCCATCCAAATATTTATGCTTATAAAGCACTTTGAGGGAGAACTAGGGTAGACAACCAACAGTGGTAAAGAATGCTTGATTTTTTCTAAACACCAAAGTAAAAAAAAAAAAATTAGAGGATAATGCAAAGAATTTTTAATTTTCAACCAAAAAACAAACAATTGTGTTTACTGCTAAAACTGACATACGTACGTACATGTGCGCGAACATGTGCATATAATACACACACACACACTTACATCACTTGTCTAGTTCTTGCTCCCAGATCCTATTATAACACTGCAATCTGAGGAATACCATGCTGGAATGTTATGATAATACTCACCATTAGGAAGTGTTATATTTGCTCCATCAATAATAGCTTGCGCCAAGTCATAATCTTTATTTTCAATGGCCAGTGCTGCAGCTTTCAGTGCATCCCATATCTCACGACGGCCCTCAAAGGCAGGGGCTGTGTCCCAAAATTCATCCCTCTTGCTGCGTACTTGGCCCTCCGTCAGTGGCATATCGGACTTCCATCTGATCCTCTCGTGCCGCAAAGGGACATTCTTTCCTATTGATGTACCACCTGAAGTTAGAAAAACTTGCTGTTTTATTGTAAATGTTCTTGTTTATTTATACTCCCTTTGTACGATAAAAGATTTTCTCTTATTTTGCAATATATCATGAAAACTTTTATTTAGTGATGTGTCAAGTAATATTTTACTAAATTAAATAACTAAAATTAAGAAGAAAGTTTGCCATACAAAAAAAATATTTATTAAAAAGTAGTTTCCTATGTAGTAAAATACTTTTCTACCTCACCTCAAACATGCATTTTAACTTCAAAAGTTCATATGATAGCATTAAGATAAACTCATAACTTAGGTGATAGTTACCCACTGCAAAAAACTGCTAAGAATTATATAAAACACAAGTAACCCACATATAGGACACACACTTATGACAACGTTTCAATCCAACTTGGACAACTGACTAGTTAACGGTACAAGTCAGACCAAAATGTCAGCATACATTTCAGTCTCATATGTAGGTTATCTGCGTATGTTAAGTCACATTGTTGTGCTTTTTTATTATGTATTAAAGACTATATGAACTTTCACCTTTGCTTCCTTCAATAATTCAGGTCATACATTACGTCAAAACTTAGCAATATATGCATATGCCACTATCTATCAACCACTGTCTAGGACTTTGTTAATGACAAGCCACCAGGGGCTTGTGAATGATCCATCCATTTTGTTTGAAAATTTTTTACCATGTATATTGTAAACTAAGACAGTCCTTTCTTTGATGACATCAACAGCAGATCATTACTCTCAGGTAATAGCTATTATTTCTTGCAATTTTTTCTAAATTGTAGATTGGCAAGTCTGAAGTTGCTATGACTTAGCCACATTAGAAATCTTGAAAGAAACAATAATTTACGTAGTTTCCACTGTTAAACTTGATCTGTGGCAAGTCTTTTAGATATGTTCTACATCCTTGAACACAGTACAGAAGGTGGGGAACATATAGGATACCTGTAAAGTTAATAGGCTATTTCCATGTCCCTACATTCAGAGGTACATTTGAAAAATTGATATGACCTCTTCCTGCACAATTGGTGGACAATAAAATCGATGCCCCTTTCTACAGCCATAAATAGCAAAATTATCCATATGTATTGTTGAATACTACATACTGTACACAGCTTAACATTTTTCTATACAGAATATAATTTGCCTACCTTTAGACCATTTGTGAAGTTCACGAATGTCATTATGCCTGGTGGTAATAATAATGCTTTCAACTTTTAAATAAACCTTAGTATCATCCTCATATTTAGTGATTTGGTTTGAGTTTCTTGTCACAGATATACTGTAAATTACTAACACAGACAGACCTCAGCATGTATCCTTGCAGAATTCCATTCAAACATTATTTCAACAAGACTTTACTTAATTTAGGATGACTATGCTTCCCTATGTCTGAATTTTCCATGCCAGTCTTGTGTGACAATCAAATGACTTCAAAAATGCATTATTCAATACATCAAATGAAAAGTGTAATCTGTCATTCAGACCAAACCACTTATTTTTTTTTTTACATTAAAACCTTTAGATGCAATGAAATAAAAGTATATCTTGGATTGAATACATATGGGCAATGGGTTAACTCACTTTAAACAGTGCACAATGCTTTTGCAGTGTGGTAACCTAGTCAATACTGCAGCCTCCTGGTGTATACCAGAAACCAATTCACCTGCACAGTGAACCCTTAGTCACTATGTGGCATTACACTAAGCGAACATGAAATCACAGGCTCTGGCACAGCAACTTTAATGAATACTAGTGTGTACTACAGTACGTACTATGTACTTGCCTGTTGTGGCAAATGGCTGAACTCGTGATTAATTCATGGCTAAATACTACAATGAGTGCACAAACTATTTTCAGGTTATGCCTATTTTACTTCCGGTGTACTACTGTCGAAAGTCTTAACATAACACAATTGTTCCCATGATGGCTAACAGTACTCTCTGGTTGTGCTGATTCTATTTGGGTATGTTTACAGAATCCTTCAAGAATGCTGGTACCTAGCACCTAACAAGCCTATTTTATTTTTTTAATTGCATGGGTAGCCTGCGTAATGTGTTTCATGTTCTTCATGGTACACAAGCTCAATAATTAAATGGCAGAAGCAATAAGTTTTCATTGGCAGACTGTACCCTAAATTGTTTATATTTTTATTCTTCACAAACTGGTATATTCTAGTTTCAATATCTGCCATCTCTCATTGTGAACTTAAATTTTCATTACAATTTTGCTTTACTTTACCAGTGTAAAGGTACAGTAAACTGTAAATAACTATGGTAATTTCATGTGTTTACTTCTTCAAAATTCCTGCAAACATTGGGCTGCATTCTAACCAAGAAAACCCTGACTCGAACTTACCAAATCTCAGCAGCATTGTGTCCCTCCCATCGAATACTGAAATAAATATAAAAAGGAACTCCTGCATAAAATTTCAGCTTGAAAGCTCTTAAAGACAAAGCACATTCCACCAAACTTAAGTCACACCAGCTTTCTTGGTAATATTACTATCATAGGTACTGAAAAAAAGTCTCGTTACACGTCTACTAATCAAAACAATGTGTATAAATGTAAATCAACTGACTTTGCAGAGGTGGGCAGTCTGGAGAAAGAAACTTCTAGAGAATAAATATACTACTGGAAATGCAGTGTGCACTATGACTTATATTTCCAAGAAAACAAATCAGATGAGATATTGGCAGATAATAGCAAACCAAATCCTGCTTAATCCACCATGTGAAGGTTTAAAAAGTTTTGACTACTCAGAAATTAGTTAAAATCTCAGATCTAGTTAACAATAGATAGCTTTTTTTTTTTTTTTTTTTTTTTTTACACCAACCAGCTGAGAGGGGCATGAGAAAAGGGAAGGGAGAAGGAAAAGGAAGGAAGAGAAATAGAAATCATGTGGGAGCACAGATAGAGTCCAGCAAGTTTAGGGTTGCAAATTCTTAATGGCTTTCAATATAAAAGATCTTGAGCATTTTAGCAAGGACAAAGAGGCATTCTGTGGTCATAATCTGTGCTATGTTTTATTTGCTGCAAATCTATATATATGGCCTTTTAATAAATTTTTATTTAAAAGTCCATATAGTCTAAATGGCAACTGCAGTAACAATGTATCAACCCTTATTTACTGGTGGGTGTTCTATACACAAAGTTTGATAAGTGTCAAGGCAGAAGAATCTCTCTCCTAGAGTTTGTCAGTTAATTAAACTGACTTTATGGAACAGCTCTGGTTTCTTCCACTACACCATCTCTTGCTAAACACATTGGCCCAGTACTGATTATTCAACAGTCCACTCACTCACTGCAGCCTTATGCTTCTGCACACTTCGTCCTCATTCTTTCTCTCTCACCCCTTCCACTCCCCACCTGTAGGTGTTAAGACCAACTGCACTTCTGCAGATTAAATTATACAATATGTTCTGGAATATAAATGGGAAAATGTATTCCAAGTTTAGTTCTATTTATGGTGGTTTGTTATTCTACATACAGTACAGTATATACTAATTTTTTAGCATCCAGAGATGCATATTCTGCCCACCAGCCACAAATGATTTCAGTCCACAAGATATCACTTCAATTTTAAATGTACAGTATAACTTATGCTATAGTGTACATAAAATATTTACCAAGCCATGTGAAATTAAGTCTGAAAATTTTTAAATCATCAGGATTTCGTTTTTACACTGCATTGTAACTGGCAGAAACAGTTAATTTTAGCTTTTTATAAGATTTAATAGATTACTGAACTAGTTTAATAATTGCTGGTCATATTCAGTTAAGTTTGGCTAGGCAAGTTTAGATTAAGACTAAACAAGTTCTGTCATATTACGAAATGTATGTTAGGTTTGAGGATTATGCTAAATTTAATAAGGTTAGTAACTGCCATTAAATAAATTTAATACTGAATTATACACAGGTAGAATGCATCTACATTTTTTTTTTTTTTTTTTTTTTTTATTATCACACCGGCCGATTCCCACCAAGGCAGGGTGGCCCGAAAAAGAAAAACTTTCACCATCATTCACTCCATCACTGTCTTGCCAGAAGGGTGCTTTACACTACAGTTTTTAAACTGCAACATTAACACCCCTCCTTCAGAGTGCAGGCACTGTACTTCCCATCTCCAGGACTCAAGTCCGGCCTGCCGGTTTCCCTGAATCCCTTCATAAATGTTACTTTGCTCACACTCCAACAGCACGTCAAGTATTAAAAACCATTTGTCTCCATTCACTCCTATCAAACACGCTCACGCATGCCTGCTGGAGTCCAAGCCCTCGCACACAAAACCTCCTTTACCCCTCCTCCAACCCTTCCTAGGCCGACCCTACCCGCCTTCCTTCCACTACAGACTGATACACTCTTGAAGTCATTCTGTTTCGCTCCATTCTCTCTACATGTCCGAACCACCTCAACAACCCTTCCTCAGCCCTCTGGACAACAGTTTTGGTAATCCCGCACCTCCTCCTAACTTCCAAACTACGAATTCTCTGCATTATATTCACACCACACATTGCCTCAGACATGACATCTCCACTGCCTCCAGCCTTCTCCTCGCTGCAACATTCATCACCCACGCTTCACACCCATATAAGAGCGTTGGTAAAACTATACTCTCATACATTCCCCTCTTTGCCTCCAAGGACAAAGTTCTTTGTCTCCACAGACTCCTAAGTGCACCACTCACTCTTTTTCCCTCATCAATTCTATGATTCACCTCATCTTTCATAGACCCATCTGCTGACACGTCCACTCCCAAATATCTGAATACGTTCACCTCCTCCATACTCTCTCCCTCCAATCTGATATTCAATCTTTCATCACCTAATCTTTTTGTTATCCTCATAACCTTACTCTTTCCTGTATTCACCTTTAATTTTCTTCTTTTGCACACCCTACCAAATTCATCCACCAATCTCTGCAACTTCTCTTCAGAATCTCCCAAGAGCACAGTGTCATCAGCAAAGAGCAGCTGTGACAACTCCCACTTTGTGTGTGATTCTTTATCTTTTAACTCCACGCCTCTTGCCAAGACCCTCGCATTTACTTCTCTTACAACCCCATCTATAAATATATTAAACAAACCACGGTGACATCACACATCCTTGTCTAAGGCCTACTTTTACTGGGAAAAAATTTCCCTCTTCCTACATACTCTAACTTGAGCCTCACTATCCTCGTAAAAACTCTTCACTGCTTTCAGTAACCTACCTCCTACACCATACACTTGCAACATCTGCCACATTGCCCCCCTATCCACCCTGTCATACGCCTTTTCCAAATCCATAAATGCCACAAAGACCTCTTTAGCCTTATCTAAATACTGTTCACTTATATGTTTCACTGTAAACACCTGGTCCACACACCCCCTACCTTTCCTAAAGCCTCCTTGTTCATCTGCTATCCTATTCTCCGTCTTACTCTTAATTCTTTCAATTATAACTCTACCATACACTTTACCAGGTACACTCAACAGACTTATCCCCCTATAATTTTTGCACTCTCTTTTATCCCCTTTGCCTTTATACAAAGGAACTATGCATGCTCTCTGCCAATCCCTAGGTACCTTACCTTCTTCCATACATTTATTAAATAATTGCACCAACCACTCCAAAACTATATCCCCACTGCTTTTAAACATTTCTATCTTTATCCCATCAATCCCGGCTGCCTTACCCCCCTTTCATTTTACCTACTGCCTCACGAACTTCCCCCACACTCACAACTGGCTCTTCCTCACTCCTACAAGATGTTATTCCTCCTTGCCCTATACACGAAATCACAGCTTCCCTATCTTCATCAACATTTAACAATTCCTCAAAATATTCCTTCCATCTTCCCAATACCTCTAACTCTCCATTTAATAACTCTCCTCTCCTATTTTTAACTGACAAATCATTTGTTCTCTAGGCTTTCTTAACTTGTTAATCTCACTCCAAAACTTTTTCTTATTTTCAACAAAATTTGTTGATAACATCTCACCCACTCTCTCATTTGCTCTCTTTTTACATTGCTTCACCACTCTCTTAACTTCTCTCTTTTTCTCCATATACTCTTCCCTCCTTGCATCACTTCTACTTTGTAAAAACTTCTCATATGCTAACTTTTTCTCCCTTACTACTCTCTTTACATCATCATTCCACCAATCGCTCCTCTTCCCTCCTGCACCCCCTTTCCTGTAACCACAAACTTCTGCTGAACACTCTAACACTACATTTTTAAACCTACCCCATACCCCTTCGACCCCATTGCCTATGCTCTCATTAGCCCATCTATCCTCCAATAGCTGTTTATATCTTACCCTAACTGCCTCCTCTTTTAGTTTATAAACCTTCACCTCTCTCTTCCTGATGCTTCTATTCTCCTTGTATCCCATCTACCTTTTACTCTCAGTGTAGCTAAACTAGAAAGTGATCTGATATATCTGTGGCCCCTCTATAAACATGTACATCCTGAAGTCTACTCAACAGTCTTTTATCTACCAATACATAAACCAACAAACTACTGTCATTTCGCCCTACATCATATCGTGTATACTTATTTATCCTCTTTTTTTTAAATATGTATTACCTATAACTAAACCCCTTTCTATACAAAGTTCAATCAAAGGGCTCCATTATCATTTACACCTGGCACCCCAAACTTACCTACCACACCCTCTCTAAAAGTTTCTCCTACTTTAGCATTCAAGTCCCCTACCACAATTACTCTCTCACTTGGTTCAAAGGCTCCCATACATTCACTTAACATCTCCCAAAATCTCTCTCTCTCCTCTGCATTCCTCTCTTCTCCAGGTGCATACACGCTTATTATGACCCACTTCTCGCATCCAACCTTTACTTTAATCCACATAATTCTTGAATTTACACATTCATATTCTCTTTTCTCCTTCCATAACTGATCATTTAAACATTACTGCTACCCTTCCTTTGCTCTAACTCTCTCAGATACTCCAGATTTAATCCCATTTATTTCCCCCCCACTGAAACTCTCCTACCCCCTTCAGCTTTGTTTCGCTTAGGGCCAGGACATCCAACTTCTTTTCATTCATAACATCAGCAATCATCTGTTTCTTGTCATCGCACTACACCCACGCACATTTAAGCAACCCAGTTTTATAAAGTTTTTCTTCTTCTCTTTTTTTAGTAATTGTATACGGAGAAGGGGTTACTAGCCCATTGCTCCCGGCATTTTAGTCGCTCATACGACACGCATGGCTTACGGAGGAAAGATTCTTTTCCACTTCCCCATGGACAATAGAAGAAATAAAAAAGAACAAGAGCTATTTAGAAAAAGGAGAAAAACCTAGATGTATGTATATATATATATGCATGTGCGTGTCTGTGAAGTGTGACCAAAGTGTAAGTAGGAGTAGCAAGATATCCCTGTTATCT